CCACTGCTGCCATCGGTCCCACCGCTGCCACCTGTCCCACTGCTGCCACCTGTCCCACTGCTGCCACCTGTCCCACTGCTGCCACCTGTCCCGCCTGTCCCAGCGCTGCCAGCCGTCCCACCTCGGCCATGCCTCGGGGCGCTGCCCTGGCGCAGGGGCTCAGCGTGGCGCACTCGCTCGGCTCCGAGATGCGCTTGCTTTCCCCGGGGATGGGCTCCTGCCCGCTGCGCCAGCCAGGGGAGCCCCGCGGAGCCTCGCTCACACCGCCGCCTCTCGCAGAGGCTTCTCGCCACTCTGTGCTACTGCCAGATCAGGCTTGGCCGTCCTGTACTCAGAAGTGCTTCTCACCACACTGAGAAGGCTCCAGAAAGACCCCACCAGTCCCACGACAAGCACCCTCATTTCCACAGGAGAAACTCCAGGGAGAAGAGTCCGTGCTTGGCAGCACAGCAGCTGTCCACAGAGCTTGCGGACAGTGACACCCCATCCTTTACTTTGTCCAGATCTGGCTGGTGTTTCTCCACTTTTCCTTTGAAGATCTGAAGTCCCTCCAGCTGTACCAACAGGGCAGAACAATGAAACCCCAAAGTAAGCATCCTCTCCTGCAGTTTTCTCCAAGAAAACTAAATTCATTTCTAAGTTTAATTAATTAGCAAGATTTTGGTTTACATCAACTTGGTAAGTGTACCAAATCAAGAAAGCTACAGTTCTGGTTAAGCACTTTGCACATGGTGGACACTCCAGCCTCACCAGTCCTGCTGCCTTTTTGATTCCCAAGTTTTTCAGCACCAATTATCCCCCAGGTTATTCCAGTGCACAGTTATTTAAGCAGTCAAAATCCTCACCCTGACTGAAACATTCATGTTTCACTTGTCCATCAGAAGAGCTCGTGAAGGATTAAAGCCCTGGACCTCCTTGTTCTGCCACTGACTCACTGATTTGCTTCAGTAACATGCCACAGTTCCTCCTCTCACCTCTAGGACTCGAGTAGCGACTTCCCTCTTCAGGGGTACTTTACTGATATATGCATAGAGCTCA